AATTGGTATTCCACCTCACTATGACCAGGCAGAAACTGTTAAATACTGGTCTGAATGATGGACATGCCAAGTAATTATGCCTTGGACACTACAAAGAATAATTTAATAAAGACGATCATCAAGAGGAGTCTCACCACTACCCAGCGTCCTGGAGAGAGATTACCCCCATTTTCTGGGGGGAGCCCCGTCGGCTCCCCGGAGCTATCCCAGGCTGATATGCTAATGTCAGACTTTGGCATCAGTCATGTGTATGGAGTTCTTAGGCCTACCGGGGACCACGGCCAGAACCGGGCCCCCTCAGAGAGGCAAGGGGAGCAATGGCCTATAGAAGCCCCCGTGTAGTTGGAAGCATTCTATGTCTGCCATCGACCGGAACAGGCACCCAGAAAGGTAAGCGCCCCAAAACAAACCCCTATTCTGGTTAAAATTGCTACCTAATACCGAACTAGTGGATAGAACTCCCCAACCGAAAACAAGCAAATTAGTGTGACGTCACACACTGCCGCGCCGCTGTCTGCGCAGCTCCCCCCTCCCCGGGAGGGGGAAGGGGGAGCCCCAGACCCCCCGCGCCGGCTACCCACACCTCAGTTCTTGAGGCTGATGCTATAGGCGATGGTCGTGTGCTCTGGCTCCGGTGTCGCTACTGCACTGTGCTTTGAGTGTGGTGTTAGTTTTGTGGGTGCGAGAGCCAGGAGTTATCTTCAGTACTCGGGCTGCATGCGCCTAGGGCTGCCTTCCCTAGGTGCCCTGTAAGTACTGCCCTTGGGGCTTGGGGCCGCCTTCCACAGGCTCCTCGGGGTCTGCCTCTGCTGGTTCGTTTTACCTTTCGGTTTTTCGGCCGCCTGTTGGGCTCTTGGGTGTTCTGTTCTCCCTTGTTACCGGCAGGTAAGAGGCAGTTTGCACTGGTAGGGGCGCAGGGTGCTGCTCAGCTTGTATTTCCCGACATCGCGGCCGGCTCTGTTCCTTGGGGTTCGCTGTCCTCTTGCGGGGTTTTGTTTTTCTTTTTGTTTTTGCCTGGTGGGGGGTTCTGTCATTTTATTCAGTTTGTTTTTGCCCTTCCACTGTTCTCCTCGGTGGCGCCCCCTGCTAAGTCCCCGTGAGTGTACACGTCCCTGGGGTTCAGCTTTAGAAGTTTGCATGATAGTTTTGTTCGTTTGCAGCCGTCTCCTTCTTTTCTGGCGAAGAATGAGACTGCTGCGTTCCGGAGGGGTCCATGGGTGGTTGATGCTTGGTTGGTCAGGCCGGGGGTGCATCATGTTTTGTGTCCGGTTGCGGCGCTTCGCCGTTATTTGCGCGCCACAGCTTCTGTGTCCGGGGACGCGCTGTGGGTTGATCCGGTTTCCCTTCTTCCCTGTTCGCGGGTTCGGGTCTCTCAGGTCGTCCGCAGGGTTATTAGGTCTAGCCAGCCTGCGGTCTATCCCCGTGCCCATGACGTTCGTAAGTTCGCGGCTCTTGCTGCCGTCTTTGGGAATATGTCTTGGTCTGATATTCGGGCGCGGGGATTTTGGCGGTCGAACAGGGTCCTGGCTGCTCGTTACCTTGTGAATGTCCCTGGCCCTCGTCGGGCCTGTGTTGCTTTGGGTCGGCGGTTGCAGCCAGTTGTCTCGGCTTCGAGTTGAGGGGTGAGCGACGACCGCCTCCCGGGTAAGTCCCTCTTTTTCTGTCTGTGGGTAGTTAGCTCCGGGGAGCCGACGGGGCTCCCCCCAGAAAACCAGCGTTGAATGTAATGAAACGCCATTTTCTGGGTGAGTCCCGGAGGCTCCCCGGCATCCCTCCCTCCCTCCGGTCGGCGGTTTTTCGCGTTTTTGACATCCAGCCTCAAGAACTGAGGTGTGGGTAGCCGGCGCGGGGGGTCTGGGGCTCCCCCTTCCCCCTCCCGGGGAGGGGGGAGCTGCGCAGACAGCGACGCGGCAGTGTGTGACCTCACACTAATTTGCTTGTTTTCGGTTGGGGAGTTCTATCCACTAGTTCGGTATTAGGTAGCAATTTTAACCAGAATAGGGGTTTGTTTTGGGGCGCTTACCTTTCTGGGTGCCTGTTCCGGTCGATGGCAGACATAGAATGCTTCCAACTACACGGGGGCTTCTATAGGCCATTGCTCCCCTTGCCTCTCTGAGGGGGCCCGGTTCTGGCCGTGGTCCCCGGTAGGCCTAAGAACTCCATACACATGACTGATGCCAAAGTCTGACATTAGCATATCAGCCTGGGATAGCTCCGGGGAGCCTCCGGGACTCACCCAGAAAATGGCGTTTCATTACATTCAACGCTGGTTTTTTAATTTTGCATAATTTTGCCACACCTCTTGGTCTCTCAGATATATTTAACTATTCATTCTCTACATCACTGAAAAAACAGCTGATGTTGGATTACATGTGTGTATCCACCTTGGCTGATACTTCCATCACATTCACTACTTGTCAACAAGGTAGCGCCTAGGTAAAAACACAAAAATCTTATGGATTTGAGGTTGAAGCTCATCAAAAGAAAGTGATCCAATTGCAGTCAGTTAATCTTTCTAGAACCTTAATGGGAAGATAAAGTGGGAAAATTTCCAGTGCAGCCTTAGTTTCTGTCAGACATTCAAGGACCTTGAGAAGATTTACAGTATCTAATAATTGATGGTGTTCCCTTGTAACTTACTAATTTTTGTATATTAAAGCAAAACAAGATATAAAAGTCCACATATGGACATCTACAAACCTAACTTAAATGCCATTTATTATCTTCTCTGAGGTTAAGGGTCATCAGTAATTCATCTAAAGGTGGTACTTCCCTAAATATATAGGTGCAAAATTAATTTTGGAGAGTTAATTAACAAATTTCCTTTCTTGAAAAATAAATTTTATTCCCTTAAAAATATATTTTGTCATTGATAGATGCACTCAATTTAATACATAATTTGACTTGTATGACAAGCATATATAATTATTTATATTAGAATATTTTAAGCAGTTATTTTACAGTTCAATTATTTTATTTTATTTTTATAAAGATGAAAACTCGTTTAATTTTCCAGCTTGTTTTGAAGGTAGAAATGTGTATATAATTACATCAATTCCTATATCTTTGTGAGCAACTTTGTATTCTCCTCACTCTTCCTCGTGGATTAGAGAGAGAGCTGCTTTGAATAAGGCTAACTCTTGAAAATTAGAAATTTTGAGAGCATATTATAAATTCCCATGAATAATTTTGCCAATCTCAAAATGTAAGTACTTGAAATTCAGAGTGATCATTCACTTTGTCAACTATATTGGCCTTTGATATGTAATGTAATATTAAAGTTTGGTCTAATATTACATTAATTGAAGATATTTAGTAAAAATTCTATAATAATAGGTACTGTACATAAATACATAAAGACACACACACGTCATATGAAAGTGCAGACTGTTTAACTCCATGACAAACATAGTATGTAATATAAGTTAACGGAAACCAATACTGTAGTACGTACCCTGTACTAAAGTGTAATATTTGATGGATATGATGCATGTGTGGAGTAGGTATTGTATTGTGTGGCTTCTCTCTCTCTTTTTCTTCTTCAAGCTCTTACAACTCTTCTGATAAAAATGTATAACATTGATTTAACTATCTTCCTCCATTAATAATGCCAAAGTGATCATCATCATCATCATGCATCTCCATCTTTAAATGTAGGCCTTACAAACTTTGGGGGAATGTTGGTTTTGGTTATACATTATATTAGTTTAATGTTCTATAACTGTTATTTTACTTTGTTACAGCATAATAAATTTAATTTCTTAATTTGGGTTGTTAACGTCTCTTGATTGCATTTCGTACTGACATTATGATTATTGATGGCATGTATGAATATTTTTATTTAATTTTCCCATTCTATCCTGACCTCTTGCAGTGTTCCATAGCTTATTAGGGGACATACATCTTGGTGACATCTTCGAATAACCTAACAACCGTTACTATTAGTCGACAGTAATTCTTTCTATTGATTTGGCTATGATATTAGCAGCAAGGGATCTTGTCACCTGGTGGCAGTATAGTTAACATGTGAAGAGAAGACGGATATACTTATTAAACATAATGAGAGTCAACAGGTTAACAAGCATAAGTGTGGCTGAAGACATGACCACATGTCCACCACAGCTTGTGCCACTGAGGCCATGAATTTAACTGATGTTATGGGAAATGCTCATTGATTATTTTGTTATAAATTAAAACATTATTCAATTTGTTATTAAACTTGTATGGTTTACTATATATGACAGTAAAAGATTTTGACAAAATGTGGCAAGTCTCATAATTTTTATTAGTGGAAGAACAATTTGCTTGAAATTTTAAATAATGTTCCTGTTAAAATCATTGGAAACCTCCAGAAAAATTATGTCATGTTAGAGACGACAACAACATGATACATTAGATGGCTAAAAATTATTGAAATAGTGGATAAAAATATTAATACTTCCTTGGGAGGTGTTGTGACTGTGAATAAGCAAAGTTAATTCTTGTATACTGAGTTTGGTGCTCTCTTTTTAATGCTAAAATGATTATTATCCTAAAACGTTGATTCTATGTGCTTTATACACCACTTTATACACCAAGTTAATAAGTATCTTGATCTTTTCATAATTAAATATTTTGAATAATTATCTGTAATTGGAAATAATTTTGTATTGAAGTTCAGAACAGAAATTGGTGTGACTGGAAAGATTATAACAAATGGCTTGACTGATAACATTTTGAGTGCCATCACTAATCATGGTCTTATTTTATCGGCTACCTGTTTTCTCGATTTTTGTTACAGCAGTTTATATATATCCAAGGTCAAAGATGTGTTTGAACAAAGGAAGGAGAAAATTTTAATTCCCAATTCAATCATTTGATAGATAACCACCACTAAATTCTTCCCAAGGTCCCAAATCTTTAAATGGATTTCAAACATATCTTGAAGCTTGTTGAATATTGATATTGGTGTTGGCCTAATTAACAGTCCCAATGCACCCACTCCCACCCTTACCATGCAGGAGACAGCAGGACATCCCCCACGGTACCCTGTTGCACAAACTGGAGGAGACGTTTATTCACGAATCAATTCTTGCAAGGTATATTGCATGTGGCGGAGGATGCATGAGGCATGTTTTTTTTCACTTATGTATGGCAGCTATTTTTTAGCTTTTAGTTTAGTACAAAAATTTCTTTAGCACAAAGTTGTGAATAAAATATTGCACAGTTGTTTTTTAATTTGGTGTCACTGATGGGAGTTTATCATAAACACCTTGCTGTAAAACACAAATTTGATGGGGAAATCCTTACCCTTGTAATAATGGTACCTTACCATTCATTGTATTAGTAGGAAGTACAGTATACAAATTAAATTTAGTTCCCAAGGTTTTTATGTGAAAAAATATAAATTGTTCAGTTTCGTATGCTATCAGCTATGGACACATTCACACCACAACTGTGAGTTGCATGTAATAAAATGAATTCAATTAAAAAAAAATTAGATGTACATTTATAAAGTAATTTAAGTGTTCAAGGATAGACTATTAACCCCGTCACTGCCTTGTGGCTCCTCACATTATGTAATGATTGCTTCCTCTCATGCTGTTTATGGTCATGAATTACAGGGGTTGCATAATTCCTATGCTCAGTACATAGCTCTGGCGATAGCCTGTCATCCTTAGAAAATAATCCTCTTGGGGACTAAGTAGCCCCCAACCCCTTCCTCTCCTGTCAACTTCAGTATTTTGACAGTGACTCAGTCATCCACTGACACTACTAAAATACTTTACTTATTAATATCAGTGAGGTTAGGGGTATTTATTTTTATCGCTACTACCTTCGTGGCCATAGTCATTATTCAATCTTTTGCATGGATATTTATAACTTTTAAAGATTTTGTATTCCCATAAATTGGGGTAACTTCTGCGGGACGGTTAAAAAAAAAAAATGCTTCTAGACAAGACCGACAGTTTTTTTACAGGTTTTCCTAAAAATTAAAATCCCTTACAGTTTTTACATCTGCTAAAGTAGCCCTAATTTCTGTCTTCAAATTATTATTTGTATATGTTTATATGGTATGCTTCATTCTTATGTAGAATTCAACTTGTAGAATTCCCCAGCAAATGTTGTAAATTTTTATTTCTTCTTTATAAATATATTGTATATATTCAGGACAAATATCCAGTTTACAAAGCCCACCCTCACATTTAACAAATTCATACCATATTATTCTTTTAATATTCATATCATTTATTCGCTAATAACACAATTGATATAATAGCATGCAAGCTTGTTTTACATGATGTAAATGAAAGCTCTTGAGAGATAATGTTTGATCAATTAAGCCATGCTATGGAAAATTGAAGAGAAAAGGAATATATTGTGAGACGATAGTATAAAGCCAATAATGAAGTGAAACCTTATAATTTTGATTGAAGACTATTGATAACATCAAACTTTATTCTTGATTATCAAAGGTTGATTATTCTTTGATGGTTAATGATAGTTGATTATCAAAGATGAAGTCAGTTCATTTTAAACAATCATTAAGTACTTTCACCACTGACGAATCCACAGCCTTTAAAGGTTTGCTAAGTATATTTTAATAGTCAAACATGACTGGTTAAATATACAGGATGGGTAAACTTCAGGAAGGACGACACTGACCACGAGTGTCCATCTTTCACAATCTTGAGATACTGAGATCTTTCTCTACAGTTCTCTAGTGAAATATATTAGAAAAAAGGATAATGAGAGATGGGGAAATTCTACAGAGTATATTATTCAAGACATCAAAGAAAATCAGAAAGGAAAAGTATGTAGCAAATGCAAGTGGACCAGAAAGCAACACAAGCAAAACCAAGATAGGCTGTATAGCCTCCACCACAGTAAAATAACATCCCTCGCCAAGTCACAGTCTGGTCAATGTCGCAGTCAGAGATCTATCTCTAACCCCAGTGTCTTTTTTTACGTAGCTTGTCATTAGGGGTGAGTATAGCAGAAGTTTCTGCTGAAAGCTCTTATCACCAATATAACATTTTACATATTCAAGGTCACTCCCCTCCCCCCAACCTTTGCTCCATAACCTTCCTTCATATATTGTACCATTCTTTCCTTCCAAGATTCTGGTCATCTGTCTCTATCATGTGATCTCTTTCCACCCGTGTACCCCCCCTTTTTATTAAACATTTTTAAGGCAACCTACTAACACCTACTCCTCCAGTCTTCATTCCATTCCCTCATCCCGGGAGGGAATGAGGGAATGAATTTCATTCCCTTCATCCCATTCCCTCATCTCATAGGGAGCCGGTCGGCCGAGCGGACAGCACGCTGGACTTGTGATCCTGTGGTCCTGGGTTCGATCCCAGGCGCCAGCGAGAAACAATGGGCAGAGTTTTTCAACCTATGCCCCTGTTACCTAGCAGTAAAATAGGTACCTGGGTGTTAGTCAGCTGTCACGGACTGCTTCCTGGGGGTGGAGGCCTGGTCGAGGACCGAGCCGCGGGGACACTTAAAAAAGCCCCGAAATCATCTCAAGATAACCTCAAGAAGAGAGATCCCTCTCACTCATACCACATCTCTCACATACTTTCTCATTGCTATAGAATTTCCCAGTTCTTTTATTCTTACACTCCCCTCCTTTCATTATTTGATTCACCTCTCCTACTACTCTTCTTCATCCTTCCATACTTTGTATGTAACAAAGCTCCCAAATATTTAAAACAGTTTTTCTTTCATTGTCCCTCTTTGTTTTCTTACCTTTCTTTGAGGATCTACAAAATCCATGAGATAGCATTCCTTTCTCTCAAACCCCTATAATCTTACTTTCCCTAGATTGACCTTCAACTATGTTCTATTGCTTCTATAGTTTATAGCATGCATGATATGTGAAAATGAGAATTGAAAATTTAGAGACTTAGTGTTATTCAGACTGGGGTGATGGATCAGGGAAGACTGATTCTGTTTGAGCCACAGAATGTCCCCACTGTTGTTGTCAGTCAATTTTTGTTTCTGCCTTTCTTCCAGCATTTGGGTACCAGTAGTATGATCCAAATTGACCCTATCCCTGTCCTCCATGAAGTTGAAGTTTACATATACAAAATGTGAAAATAAGATAAAAAAAATCTAGGGTGTTTGTGGAATCTAAACTGGAATAACATTTATTCATTAGTTCTTCAGTTTTGTACCCTGTGTTCGATACATGAAGTCATTTTTAAAAAGGGAATTTAGCAAATATAAAGTTTCTCTACAGATAAAAACATCAACAGTGACATAATACACTGTAGTCTGGTTGATCTAAATCTGGTTGAGCTATGCTATTGCCGATTTATTTTTTAACCTAAGCAAAATTGAAATAACTTGTAACTGTAATTAGATTTTATAAATATTTCAACATAGACTAGATTTCTTATTGAGCATTAGTAGAGCCAATTTGATCTAATCAGGATTTTTGTTCAGCCTATAATGCTAGCCGACACATTATTGATGCCAAGTGGTCTTATTTGTTGCAACACCGCCCCTGTATCACTGCAGTTCACTGCAGTTCTAAAGCCTTGCACTGTAAACCATCTCTAAAGCACATTGCCTGTGACACCCTGTAGATGATTGGAATGTTATGCATCCATTGAATCATAAATATTTTTTGTGTTATTGTTCACAATTACACAAATGCTAATATCTAAATTTTGTTGTTTAATTATTCAATGCATTATTTAGGATTTGGAAGCATAGCACACATTGTGTATCACATGTTTAAATATTTGGTAGCATGCACCATTTAGCTTGAATACATAAAAATTCTTTTACAGTATTTTGATACTATGACCTTTTTAACTAGAATAATCAATTATACAGTAATTAATTGAAGATTTCATTGTAAATATGACCATTCATTTTCAGCAAAACTGTTGGTATTCAATTCTTAATTTAATATTTTATATTAACACTTTCGCGCTTTATATTAGAGATAACTCGTCACTGGTTTTTCTTACGATTCCGCATAACTGCCTACTTTTCTCGTCAATCGAAAAAATATTTCTATAAATTCCATTTTTTAACCGAAATGGATGGGGATACTTTTGTTTTGTAGAGAATTTATTTGCGAATTTTTTGGTACCAGAATGAATATTATATCACATAAACTTCTATGAGTAAAAAAAAAAATACACAAAGTATGTTTGGGGGTGTGGCGAGCGTGTGGCAGTGGGTTCCCTTTAGCCGTTGATATATCCAACACGTGGGAAATATTTGTATGTGTTATGTATATGTCTGTGTAGGGAATTTTACTGCGATCACTGTCATACAAATTATAAAATGTTTCAACAAGTATAAACATGACAAACATCAAACGAACGAAAACAATGCGTTCGTTTCTGCTGCGAACGCATACTGAGCGACGTGGTTCTATATTTGGCGCTTCTCTTACACATGCTTTGTACCAATGTTATACAGTTCATCTTATAGAAAATTTTATTGCGAACACATTGGTATAAAAAAGAAATACGTACATAGAAAAGTAGGGTCAGGAAACGTATAAACTTTCCAAGCATGATTTCCCCCCTGTGTTTTCGCCAGTGCGCTCGCGGCTAACTACTCTCCACTTCACACACTCCTGCGGGTGGGCAATTACCTATATTAAACATTCATATGCATATGTCCGTGTAGAGGATTTTATTGCGATTCCAATGATACCAAAATTAGCGATGTAGGACAACTGTAGGCTTCGCAACCATTAAGAAAGTGGAAACATTTTGTTGCTGTTTGGCGCTCTCGGCGAGTGATCTGCATAGTTTTTTATTTGGTGTTGATACTCCTTATGCTTGGGCGGCATTTTATAGGTATGCTCTTATAGACAATTTCATTGCGAACACAGTGATACCAAATTTAAATACGTGCGCCTTCAATTATTGTCAGGACAGTCAAAAGAGTGTACACTTTTTCGGTCTTACCGCGTAGGCGCGCGAAGTGCCGAAAGCATCTGGGGTATTGTTTTTTTTTAGCGCCGAGAGCGCGAAAGTGTTAAGTGAGCTGTGTAATATGTAATACAGTATATTCAATATGCGCATACAACATACTGTACATGCAAAAATAATCCCCCTAAAACGCTTGATTATAATTTGCAAAATGAAACGAGGCCAATTTTATTGTGACTGTCATTATCAGTATCAGCTTACATCAATAGGAAGTATAGTGAGAAAATTATACCATTAGAGGCTAATTATAGTGCGCTAAACATGCACAGAGAAACAATAATTTGTGTATTAAAACATTATGAAAGAATAGAGTGGAGTCAATAGGGCAGAGGTATAATTTATGTCCTAATTAATGCCCAAATTCAGAGGGGTGACTTACAGAGATCTTGTTAGATCACCTGCCAAGCACTTATTTCTTTTATATATTTTGCAATTACTGTATAAATGAGTCAAGCTTAAAGTTCTGGGAAAATATTTTCACCAAAGAGCATTCAGAGGACCACTTCACTCCAAGGGCTACCTGTACATATTTACAATTTACATACTGCTATAAAAGTAAAGTGAATATAATACAGTCGACTTCCTAATTTACTCAGTCATGGTTTATGTGGAAGGAATTTGTGGTAATTTACATAGACTCAAATTATATAGTGATTTATGTGGACTGAATGTACTGTATGTGGTGATTTTTGGGGACTGAATTTTTGTGGTTTGTACAAGCAGCCTGCATTTTGCATGGTGTATTGGATTACATAAATTTGGAGTTATTTGGGTAACACTTTTATACCAGATATTGAAGTATGTGGGGAAACATTTGCATTATCAAGCAGTAAGTCCATCTCTCAACTATGTTTTTCAGGAACATAAGCACCACATTAATCGAGAGCTGCCTGTAAAAACACGTTGAACTCGTTTATGCTGTCTGTTAAAATCTATGTAGTGCTGCATGGTGAATACCTTGTTCCTGTTTAACAAATATCCACACAAGTATTCATTTTCTAATTTAATAATAAACAAAAAATTAGGAACATTTATTACCTGATTTTCTCCTGTATCAGCAGCTTTAATGATATCCAGAAACTTTTGAATACCTCCATTTTGTAACAGATGGTGCTATATAGCATCTTTAGCGTGATGCTTTCTTATAATAATTAGGTATTTGTGGAGTGGATGAAGTGGAATGTACTGTGGTGATATGGACACATTAGTAGAATGCCTGTGAGTCGTTTGAGAAATGTGTGTATAAGAGTGAAATAAAGGAATCGCACGTATGGTAAAGACAGCTAACCGGTATTTTGGAAGAGAAGAAAAGATCAATATATGAAAGAAAGGGCAGGGGAATGGGTAAGAGTCTGATAAAGTGAAAAGTGGGTGTGCTGATAATAACCTCCAAGTGAAAACACCCCCGTAAAGTGGAGCTACCGGGAGAGAATAAAGCATTGGCATTATATATTAAAAAACTAGGAGGAGCCAAAGGTCATGCCATACCAGTAGCTTCAAGTGCCATATTTCTTTAAAAGGTTATTACTAGATGGGGATTGAAATGCTGTGGATATATTTGCATGTGCAATCCCTCCTATTCAAGGAAGTAGGCAAGAAGTAATTGTTGACTATTTATTAGATTTTTGATGCAAAGATACTGTAGTTGATTATATTGTGGCTGTAGACATTAACTGTTAATGAGAACACAAGAATGGTCATTAGAGAGTGTGTTTGTGTAATTATACACAAATAATAGATTACATATACACTGTAATAAACTAATGCATCAGTGAAAGTTTATCATTTTATTTCATAATTTTGTTTAGGCTCAGTGGTAACTTTTTGTTTTTTTATTTAAATACTGTACAGTATTGTTCATATAGTGTCAAATATTAGGCAAATTCTGTATACAGGTACAGTAGGAATTTGACATTACCATTAGCAATGATAATTATATGTTTTCTAAATAATTGTTGAGATAGTATATTATATAGTAACAGCCTTTTGCAATGACCTTGTTACTTTACTCATTAATTAGTTATGTTTCCTCTAAATACAAGTTAATATCTCGGTACTGTATCATAATTTTAATCTTACGTTATCTATTAGAATGAAATGTAGTCATAAAATAACATGATGATGATGATACTTCAGCCGTGAAGCCCGAGAATATCAGAGTCAGCGAGGACCCCGTGATTCTAGTCGTGATCACCAGCACCGACCCATAAGCAATTACTACGAATATGAGAGTGTCCAGGCTATGATTTCTCATGCCCAAGAGAACAGTAGCACTTCACTTCCTAGAAGACACCATCCTCCACCACCTGGACCACCCCCAGCAGCTGCCGCTGCTGCTGCTGCTGCATCTATTGCCAGAAGTGAGTGTATAGTATGCAGTACTTGATGAGGACAGAAAGATTGCAGCATTTGTTGATTTCTTTCCCTTCTATTTACTTTGGTCAACCTCATTTTCTGGGAGGGCTACATATGCTAAGTGGCAAGCTTGCTTTCCCCCCCCCCCCCCCCTTCCCCCTTCATTCCCCTTCATGCACACTGATTGAATCCACGCCAGGCCCTTCCACGTCATAACAAAGCCTACCAGGGACCAGAGGCGAGAACCTGAGCCCCCTCTAAAGAAGCACAAAGAGCAGGGGATTGTAATTCTCCCTAACCAAGAAAAGGTCACCAGAAAGTTGGACATATCAAAACATAATACTGTAGCAAGGTAAACAAACCATGGAAAATGGGACAGCAAAGTTCCTGTGCACCACTAGGTACTGTGCGTCTTCCTCCTCAATCACCAACATTAAACCCCAGTCATATACCTGGCATGAACATTATACAGTTGTGCTGTCACACTATTTGGTCTCTGGTCCCTGATGAGCTTATTTATGGCTAGCAAGGGCTTGGTATGGATTGAATTGGGTAGAACTTGCCAGGCAGCAAGCACCTTATTATCCAGTTCTTTGCCCACTTATAATGTGGACATAAATTTCCAAAATCTGTAATTTCACTGTTGGAAGTATAATCAATCAATTATCAATACTTGCCATTATAAAATTTTAATTCAATTCGTTGTGTAGCTTTTTCTTCCTCCTCCTACTTGCCTTTCCCCACATTGTCATTATTGCTCTGAATAATCTCATCATCTATCGACCCATAACCTGGATCATTAGCACCTTCAGGTTAATTGTTGCTGCTTCTGTATTTCTTATTCAAAAAACAAAACAAAAATCTTAGTTTGTATTAAAAGAAAATCCTTTTAATACTGAGTATGAATACTTTTATGTATGAAATTGAGTGAATGCTTAAATAGTTCTTTACTCAGTAGTTTTAGTAGGAAGTAAAATCTAGCCCTGTAGCAACACCTACCAAGTCATTTACACCACTTCTGCCTCAAGCCCCTTCCTTTTGTTTTCAGCCTTTATTGCATGTGAACATTTTCTTACAATTCTCTGGCTTATTTGTCTTTCTAAATTGAAGTTCCATGTTGTATTTCTAAGTTGAAGTTGTACCATAGTTTCTTTTCTGGACTCTTGGGGGTGTGATTTTCATAGCCATTCACATTCATAGTTTGTCGAGTATGTTGGTGGCTAGCCTATGTTGGTTCCTATATACTGGCCTATAATTAACTTATGTTAATTATCTTGAAATTTTAGCCCATCTATTTTCAGGTTTTATTCAGTAGGCTAATTGAATATATAATACAGGAGATTACTTTTCAGTAGCATAATGTTTAGTTATGTTTCCATTTGAAAAACTGACACTAATTTTTTTTCCATCAGATGGTGGTAGTGGGCAAGGCAGCTCCCTGTTCCTTGGTACCACCCAGCCACATCACATGACCATGTTTAAACAAACTTCTGGCTCATTTGTACATAATCAGTCTAACCGTGGAGGCCTTGCTGGACTTAACATGGCTCAAGCAGGCTTGCATCCTGGCCACCGAGAACATGCTGACATTCCACGCGAACTTCCTCATCTGGAGGGGAACTATGGATCAGGTTATCGGCCAGCCAGTCATTACACTGGACCACACTACAAGCCACCACCACCACCACCACATCACCATACTACTAAGCTCACAGTACCAGGTTCCAAAGTATGAGAATAACTTGTATCTGGAATGTATGAAAATGGTGTAAAAAGTGTATAGACTAAACTCGAATTGAAAAATTGCCGATTAATTTATTAAAAATCAAAAATATAATTTTGTGCATATGTGAAATACTTGTAAAATATGTTTAATGAAAGATATGAGAGAAATGTAGGGTGTAAATTATTCTGAAGTCATTGGTTTAAGGATTATTTCCATTGCCTTAAATGTACTGATGGAGTGTTGTTTGTTATGTGTAGGCATGTACTTCCTGTATAGCACAACATTCCATTATGTGTATTGTTCTTTTAATTTTAGTTAAAACGATAAATTGTCCTCCTTACCTTGCACATAAAATTTTATTGTATAGAAAGTGAGGGACCAAACGTTTTTATATTGTTACAGTACCTGGATGATGTGCAACTGTTCTTTTATGTAATTTATAGTTATTGTTTTAATCTAAAGTGTGAATAATAATCAAAGCTAATTAAGGAATCTCAAGATTCTTATGGTAACAAAGAAGATTCAAGATTGTATTGGCGGCCAGCTCAAAGATGCTACACTGAAAAAAAAAAGAGCCAGTTTACTTAATCTTGAACTATTTTTAATTATGTTATTTTTAAATCATTCATAAAAAATGAAGTACAGTACTCCAGAATTTGGTGCCTTAAGTATAATGATTTGAATATTATAAAGTGCCATCCATAAATTTGCCTTAATGGTTCATTGAGAACTTGACTTTAAACAAAAATTTATGATGCTATCCTGATATGTGTACATGATTTTTAGTATTACAAACATATTTATGTACAGATATATATAGATACCATATATTGAAGGAGTATATTATTAGGTACGCAAAAGTCCAAAATCATACCTTACATTTTATGCTGCCTTTTATGATGCTTCTGTAGCTTTTAATATTTTAATATACAAGATTCTTATTTGACAGACTCTTCTAGACACTATCAACTCAACCAGTAGTTATACTGTGCCAAAGTGACTTTGGGTTACATTCCTTAACAGGCTTGTTGACCTGTGAACATTGGTTGTACAGGCCTCATTGTATGTGGTCACTTGCAGTTTTTATCATGTGTGTACATTTTTGTAAAAGATTTTGTAAATAGCATTAGTACTTAGGTATGCAAGAAACAATTTTTATACTATGTAAATGGAACCAGCACTCTACTGCTGGGCTGCATTATTTTCTGCTCAAGATGCAGCTATTTTCTGTTTTCTGTAACTGGAACTATTCCAATACTCCAAAGGAAAATAAAGGAAATTTTAATAATGCATTTTGTTATTGCTGCTTTCACTGTGTCATGAATTTTCCTTTACTGTGCTGGGACAAGTAGGCATGAATGTGAATATGAAGAAAAGTACAATAATAATAAAGGAGAGATGAAAACTTAGTGTGTACGGTAGAGATCAATTACTTTAGGTACTTGGAATATGTAACTGACAAAACATTAATTTGTCTAGCAAAAGGAGTTGAGAGTAGAATGTAGTAGAGAAAGAAAATAGCTGGAACAATGAAAGTCCAGGCCCTCTACCCATGAGTATTACCTTATAGAAGGGGGGGGGGTATTTGATAATTACTTATAGAAGGGGTAGGATGTTCAATGCTCCTCTGATCTGTGGAGTAGTTGCTTATGAAGTCACCTAGATTAAGTGTCACGGTTTTTATAGGCAGAAAATGATCATATACAGTACTTAATCAACCCAAATAAGTACTGTGTAGGATAATGAAGATGGGAAAGGAAGATAAGAGACCAAAAAGAACATACACCATAATTCATGTTAATTCATAAGGAAACGGCCAGAATTTGAAAAAAGGAAAGGGTTTGGAGTGGCTATACAATGATACCAACACTAACACCAGAGGCATGTGTAAAAAGGGTAATGTCAGCATCACTGGAAACCTGGCAGACATGAGAACAATATTAAAAAATCTAAGCAAGGATGCTTTCAAACTACATACACAGTCGTATACAAGACCGTTATTCAAGTACAGTATGCTGCACTGACATGGAATCCACACATTGTAAAGCACAAAATGAAATTAACAAACAAAAACCATACAAACATTTGCACGAGCACTAGTACCAAACTTGAGACATAAATATACGGACATTAAATTGAGAGCCCAGTATACTGTGAGAGCCTGGTATATTATGAGATTTTGGTTTACCATGAGAGCCTGGTATACCATCAGAGCATAGCATGCCATTAGTCTCGTATACTACAGTATTAGAACTTGGTATATCTGGTTACAATTTTGCTGCACATCCCTCAATACAGTTACTCGATCCACAATACCCTCCCACTACTGACAGTGATTCCTTTCACTCCCCTCCCCTAAAAACAGGTAACCTTGTATCTTCCATTGATATCCTCACTCAGTCATCAACAAATCATGAACTGGCCAGAAATAAGCTTTGTAATGGAGGAGCAACATTTATAAGGGTTGGTCATGCTTAAACTAAACTTTGATGAGTTGGTTTTGTTTCCTATTGTAGGTGACAGGAAAACTACTAGGCTTATCGATGTCGCCCTTGGTCAATGGCTGACCTTTCCCTGAAAGCAACACACAATAATTATCTCCAGGGTACCTGTTTACTACTAGGTGAACAGACACATCAGAGGTAAGGGAGGACCCAAACATCACATTCAGGCAGCTGCTTGCCGGATGTGGTCGATGAAGCACCTTTCCTGGACGAGCTCTCATTGTCACGGTAAGACCTTTTGATTCTTCTGTAATCCTTTTGCGCTATGGCTCACAGGATGAGCATGAGGTGCACAATAAACTAGCCACCGGTGGAAGCAACAATTACCTCAACAGGGACAGCTGCCAATTCCTGCACAGGGAGGACATGTGGTATTCCAATTCTTCATACCAGTATATGGTTATCGTTACCAATTACTATGCCAAACCACTTGGGCTGGACGGTAGAGCAACGGTCTCCCTTCATGCAGGTTGGCATTCAATCCCCAAACGTTCAAGTGGTTGAGCACCATTCCCATCCACCCCTGTCCCATCCCAAATCCCTTCCAAGTGCTATGTAGTTTTGAATGGCCTGGCACTTTCTCCTGATAGTTCCCTTCCCCCATTACCAACTAATCAGGATACAGTTGATAATGGTTCCAACCATTACCGTTGGTTAATGGGGGCGAGTGGGTGTTAGGTTAGGCTAGGTTTTATATTTATGTTGTTGTTTAAAACTTTATGGTTTGTCCAAATTCAATAAAAAATTTACTTTCTGGTGGTCCATCCTTACACATTGGTACATTAAACCAAATAGTTACAATAAGTACTTAAATTTTAGGAGGATGGGCTGGGCAGGCTGTATATAGGCCTGTTGATACAACAGGCCTATATAATGACATGTGAATTATTTAACATTGACATTTGATAACGATTTATTGAAGAAATAATCAATAAATTTATTATCTTATCCGATCACAAACATAAATTAACAAATTCTAATGTCATAATAGATAATTCGTTCATATATAAATTATATGAACGTCGTTCGATATCATTGTCAGCTTAATTATTTGTATTATAATGATACTAGACATTCAAACAATGAAGAGCTTATATATATCAAACAACAAAACATACATCCATATGTATTATCAAAGATATCAGAATTGTGTGCAATATTGAATTATAGTGACATGGACACACTGTAACTGACGTAGCCTACTCGTTAGAAAATAGAATACTCGTTAGAATTTCATTGGATCCCACCCAAAATGTGACGTCACAAAGTAACACCCGCTAAACCCTCATTGGTTCCTGTGAGATAACAAGTCTACAATCTGGATGACTGCGCGAAGAAAACCCCGGTGACTATTGGTTCCCGTAAAGTGACGTCACAGTTGCCGTGCGACTGAGCCAATGAGAGACGGCAGTTGGAATTTCCACGTGTACTGTATGTAGCTGGGGCTTCGAGGGGAGAGGTACAGTAAATGAACCATTCATATTATATTTTTATGGGCTTTAAATGCGGTTTTGCTCCCATCCCACATATTGTATTTGCTTATGTTAATTTCATACATATATTTGTGATACATGACCAACTAAATCGTTGCAGGTTTGACATGTGTCGATCAAAGTCACGGGACTATGAATAGTAATGTTGTCTGGTGGGGTTACGTTGTTGTTGTTTAAGATTCAGCTACTTGGAATAAAAGTTCCAAGTAGCACGGGCTATGGTGAGCCCGTGGAGGACTTACCTGGCACAGGAGCGGGGCTGTAACTGTGTGGTCCCCTGGGGTTACGGGGACCACACACGTTATGTATGCAAGTGTTTATGTATGACAGGACGTGTAGTCGTGTGTCAAGTGGTACAGCTGTACACCTGTTGGTGCTGAAGCTAGTTATGTATTTTGTGGTTGTTTTTAGTTCTTTTATTATTCACCTTTTGCAGGCGTACCGTGCATCCTGTTTCTAGCTAGTGGTTCGACCTTTTGTGGAGAATATTGTCAATGGATTTTTGTCCTTGGCAGCCTGGGAAGATATATTGTTGCCGCCTCCGAAGTCTTCATTGCTCCCAGTCAAAGGCAATGGCTCCCCTGATAACCCCCACGAAATCGGCAGAAGGTTGAAACTGAAATAAGTTTATTAAGGTATAAATACACACAAAGGAGTTAGGTAGCTCAAGCTATTGTATAGTACAATTACAACATATTCAGTACAACGTGTTCAAGTTCAAGTATGTTTATTGAGACAAGAAAAAAAGTACATCTCAAAGGGATAGAGTAGATTAGGCTATTTCTACCCCCCCCCCCCACCTTCTACTTCAAGTCTCTCAAGGGGGCGCACAAATTCAGTGAGTACAAGTACACAAATCACAATACAAGACTGCTCAACAATACAACGTGTATATATATATATATATATATATATATATATATATATATATATATATATATATATATATATATATATATATATATATATATATATATATATATATATATATATATATATATATATATATATATATATATATATATATATATATATATGTATGTATATATATGTATATATATGTATATATATATATATATATATATATATATATATATATATATATATATATATATATATATATATATATATATATATATATAATATAGTAAGAACAGACATGAGCGGGTTGGTGTCGGCCCCCATGGTGCAACCTTTCACGGTTAGATCGCGCTCCAAATTCTTAACTGACGCAAATTTTGGTGGATCGACCCGGGTACCACCGGATACTCTTATCTAAACCAGGTATCAACCAGTATGTAATAACGAGCTCGCCTGCAGTCCCGGAGGGTAAGCAAGTATAGTGAACTGGGAGGTTTTTTTTTTTTTAACTGGGAGTGGGAAGCCTTGGAGCGTAGCCGCCTTTTGATGTTTATGACAGCAATTAATTTATTAGTTCGTGGCTCATGAAACCGTGGAAGTGATTTTAAAAGAACAAATCCACAAGGGCCGTGACGAGGGTTCGAACCTTCCTCCGAGAGCATTCCAGACGCTGCCTTAATCAGGCAGCGTTGCTTGCTTTGTCGTTGGTTGTTTGACATTCCAAGAGATAGTGAAGTAGTGGCTTTTCTGTGACTGTTTGGCAGAAGTTGCATTCCCTCTGTCTGGGTTCACCAATCTCCCAGTTGCATCTGTACCTTACCTTTAAGTTACCTTGAAGTGTTTCCGAGGCTTAGTGTCCCCGCGGCCCGGTTGTCGACTCCTCGTTGCTGGACTGGTCAGCCAGACTGATGGACGCGGCTGCTCGCAGCCTGACGTATGAATCACAGCCTGGTTGATCAGGTATCCTTTGGAGATGCTTATCCAGTTCTCTCTTGAACACTGCGAGGGGTAGGCCAGTTGTGCTCCTTATGTTTAATGGAAGCGTGTTGAACAGTCTTAGACGTTGAACTGTAACCTAGACGTAGTCTATATAACCGAACTGCTATTTCCCTGTGGATTCCTTTTGGGATGTTTAACCTTTCTAACTTGGTGGCCTGAAGATAACATACTGCACAGGGCGAACTTTCTGCTACTCTCTGGTGTAGATGGACTTTGTTGAGGTGTGAGAGTTTTTTGGTGATGGTGTTTGGGGCTGGGTTGGATTGTTTTATGTATCACTCGATGACGAGTTGTCAATTTAGCAATTTCATCGGCTTTCTCATTTAATGGGATTCCAACATGGGATGGGATCCAGTTTAGGGTGATGTTGAGTCTTTTTGCCTTTAATGACTGCTCCAAGATACAAAATGGTGGTAATTGTTTCCACATTGTCTTTCCATTACTTTTTTCCTAATATCTGAAGTGCAGCTTTTGAGTCTGTGTGTATGATTGCATATGAGTGTTTTGTGCAATCACATATACGATTGCCTGTTGTATGGCAAACAGCTCAGTTTGGGTTGATGATACTGGTCCTCCCAGTCTCCAATATGCCTGTTCGCTGTCCATGCAAAGAGCAGCGCCAGCACTCTCAAATTTTGTGGCCACCGATCCGTCTGTGAAGATATGGGTGGCTCCTGCTACTGCAATGCTGCTCATTTGCTTTTCTATGATGCGCCTTAGGATTGTTTTATCATAGGCAGCTTTCTTCATCGGAAGACCTTCTATTACTATTTTGAAGGCAGGCTCCTCCCACGGTGGAGAACGGGTGTGGTTGATCTCTCTATCAAGGATCATGCGTTTTAATTGTAGTCTGTTTAGGACTTTTCCCGCTCTTTCAATCCAAGAGTTTCCGTTGTTTTGGCCAAATCCAACCACACCGGGACTGGATCAGGGGAAACAATTATCTTATTGATAATTGTAGCTGTTCTTTGCGATATTATTTCTTGTAGAGAGGGCAAACCTGTTTCCAGTTTTAGAATTTCAAGCCTGGTCCACATAGGTGCTCCCAGGGCAGCTCTCATAGCATTGTTTTGGGCAACTTTAAGCTTTTTCCACTGTTGTGATAGGCTTGTGAGTGCAGGTGCGTCATAGTCGATCACTGATCTGACTGCCTGTACATAGTATGTGCGAAGGACTTGCAGATTGGCTCCTCCAGAGGGAGGTTAGCGACCTGAGGATTGCTGTCCGAGCCGCAGTTCTCTCTCTCTCAAGTAAGTGACCTCAGCATTAAAATTTATGTGTGTCCAGGATTATTCCTAGATACTGATATGTGTCCACCCATTCAATTGGTTGACCCTGTACTGTGACTTGAATGTTGGGCTTCACTATTTTTATGGGCATGGCTTTTGTCTTTGTGGGGTTGAGTTTGATACCAATGTGCTTTGACTCTTCACTCATGCAGTCTAAGCATTTGGGTGCAAGGCGCGCCACATCTTTTATGATCATGACAAAGTCGTCCGCGTAGTTTAGCAGCCTGCAGTGTTGTGGGAGTTTCAGCCTCATTATTCTTTCCATTAAACAGTTGAAGAGAAGGGGGCTGAGAATTCCTCCTTGCGGTGTACCATTTTCATGTCTTTTGTATTCAGAGACTGTTCCATGAAGTTATACTCTTGCTTCTCTGTTTATGAGACAGCTTTTGGTTCAGGAGAGCAGGTTGCCTTTGACCTCTTTGTCGATAAGGCAGCAAAGCCTTTGAACTGGGGCGCGAGCCAGTTCAAAGGCTTTCTCGAGGTCCAGGAATATAAGCATTCCTGGTCTGGCTGCGCTGGACGTTAGCAAGTCTTTTTATATGGGCTGTGACGTCATTTTGGCGCGAATGCTGGAATTGTAGACGAGGAACCGGCAATATAACGTCCGTTGTGATAGTTTATCTGGCGTCGGGTGAGCTGGAGAGACGGCAGGTGCGCTGTCTCTAGTGGAAGGTTGGGTGGAGGGGGGAGGGAAGGTATGTCTAGACAATACGTTTTGGCCCATACTGTTGTTTCTTGATGTTGGAGCATGCTGATATGTAGGGCGGAAGGAACAGGCAGAAACTACTGCTATGCAGGAGATAACCGTAACAATATATCAATATATATATACTTTTTTATTAGATAGGGAATGAAATGGAATTATCAGGAGGATCACCTAGCCATTACGACCATATTGCACTTCGTAAGAGATTGGCATAGGCTACATGTCTATGCCAATACAATAGTCCCTGCCCATTACAATATAGCACCAGTTCCTGCCACATTAGGTAACAAAATTGCATGTCGGCCACATTATAGATTGTTTCAAAAGCACTGTTAAAATAGCGCACTTGAGTATTGGGAGATATAAATGCACCAGGTATTAATAGCTAGAAGAAGCCAAATCAGGTGCCAATTAAGAACCCAGGGTCGTAACAGGCCTCCAGAGCCAGAACTCGAACCCCTTAAACACTAATAGGTGAACATTGATATATCTTAAAACACATGTGCACAAACGACTATGCGATATTATCACGAGACATTGTCAGTGATTTATTTGTTCAGGCCGAACACTGTCAAGACGAGTCAGGGGCCTGGGTAGAGCCTATAGACGCTCAGATGAGTCACAGGGATGTTAAAAAGTCCCGCTTCAGAGGAAGAGGAGTGAACAAGTTGAATGAGATTGCAATTGGAGGTAGTTCAGAGTAATTCCATACAGTTTCAAGCGTAGATATGATAAGAAACATGGGAGTTTGGAGCGGGAGCCCCAATGAGGATATTGTCCCTGCAAGCACATATAGGTGAGCCCACCGGCCCGTACTAATTATAGTTCTTGTTATAATTACTTCCAATCACTGATGTTTTATTATCCGTTATCAGCATCCTCCTGTTATCAGGTGGGAGGATATTTAATGAAGCAGAAAGTGTTGCCAGAGATAAGATTTCGAGCTCTATCGCTATAGTATCAAAGCTTCGATTAGCGTTTACACCATTTTCACCCAACTCAAGATACGACATTGATGTAGATCCTCGAGCGTCTGTTTGATGCTTTATCAGATTTAGGAAGAATGGTCAGAGGGACTTTGACAATTTAGCTTCGTAACGAACCTCACCTGACCGATGCTGTCCATGCAATTACCACCATGCAGTATGAGGAAGTTGTCATGTAGGGTTACCGCACCTAATTTTGTGTGTTACAATGAACATATGGGCTCCAATGGAGTTAAACAAAAGACAAAGTTGGAGAAGATTCAGAAGTACGCTACCAGACTAGTCCCAGAACTGAGAGGTATGAGCTACGAGGAAAGTCTACGGGAGCTAAACCTCACGTCCCTGGAAGACAGAAGAGTAAGGGGAGACATGATCATCACTTACAAAATTCTCAGAGGAATTGACAGGGTGGACAAAGACAAAATATTTAACATGGATGGAACACGAACAGGGTGACACAGGTGTAAACTGATTGCCTAATGAGCCATATAGATATTAGAAAGATTTTTTTTAGTGTCAGGTAGTTAACAAATGGAATGCATTAGGCAGTGATGTGGGTGGGTGCCACCTCTTGGGTGGCTTTATCTTCATCAATTTAAGGAGGGGCATTGGGTCTAACCTAGCCTCCCCCTATGCCACGCCATATAATCTCCATTGAATCCGCAAAATTTAATGAGGCTAGCCCAAAGCCTCTAGCCTCCAGCCTAAGACATACAAATACAATTCCCTTTTATAGATAGATCAGCTCAAACACCTCTGTAAGCCGTGCTAATTTAAACAGTTCTTGTTGAGCTCTTAGCAAGATATATTGCCATTTTAGACCTAATACAAAACATGTACTCTTCTAATAGTATAAAAATCTGAATGTTCTCAATAGTAACACCAGCTGAGGCGTCTACTATAGCCACCTATAGAATGCATCACAATTTTCTTTTGCAGAACTTTAGACAGCTAAAATTATCCTACTATCTCTCCACTCAGCTTGAATTGTCCCGATGCATTAGTTTTTTCTCAACAATACTCTAATGATCCCTCATGGATTCGAATCTAGGCCGCCAGGGCATCAATCACAGCAGCCTAATTACACCCACTTCGTCAGTGACTGTTACAAGTGTAACGTCTACAAGTGGCAGCCCCCTCGGCGTAGTGGTAAAACACTCGCCCGGGGCTTCACAAGCGCTTTGGCCTGGGTTCGTATCCGGGCCTGGCCGGATAAGGGCCTGCCCGGATAAGGGCGCCTTAACTATAGCCTCTGTTCACCCAGCAGTAAATGGATACCTGGTTGTTATACGATATGGCGGGTCGTATTCCAGGGAAGAATTAGAATTAAGGATTTGCCCGAAACCCTATGCGTGCTATAGTGGCTTTACAAGACTGTAAGCACTCTTGTATAAATAAATAAATAACAAAAACCTTCCCCACGATTTAACCCACAATAGTTAAGTAAGTCTCCTGTACGTATTTACTGCTGGGTAATCAGAGGCATCAGGTGTAAGGGAATCTGCTCTGCCTACAAAGAGTAAACTCAAGATATTTGGCTAGGATTTTGAGTAATATGTTACCCTTTGGATTAAGTAATGTGTTAAATGTCGTAGTCATTTTAAAAGTAGCGGGCGAGGGTGGTAGACTAAGTGTAAGGGTGTGATTGGGTGTAGTAGCCGGGCCGCAGCCAATAGTTACCGGCCACCACAGAGACGCACTCGCACATCAAATGAAGACTTTATGCAACTTTAAATATTTCCTGACTGAAACATAAGAATATATGCTTTACAACACACACGAGAGACTCTGACGAGTTAATATTGACCCTATAAGACGGGTAGAAGCTACGAGGCGGGTCCATGGTTGGCATATTAATGGAGAATTAAAAGAGTAGTTGGGAGGGTTGACGGGGCTGGCAGGTTGGGCCGGCCGGTAAACAGTAGACGGGAAGAGTTGTGTAGTGAAGACGGTGAGAGGACAGACAACATGGCTGCGAGGCTCCTGGTACTTCTGGCCCTCCTGGCCGTCACCCTCGCCGACGATGTCATGCAGTTCGGTGATGCTGACTTCGACAGCAAAGTTGGGAGTTACGACACCGTGCTGGTGATGTTCTACGCCCCGTGGTGAGTGTCTGGGGCACAGCCCCCCACCACCCCGGTGGTTAATGTTTACTGTGGGGGTGATTGGTGGTGTTGGGGGGCTAGTTGGGTGGTTAGCGGGGCATCATTGTGTCCTCACCGCCACAGTAACCTCCTATAGATTTCATAGAGAGGATTGTCCAACTTAAACACCGGGATTAAATTGGATATATATTGATGCACATTGTATAGTGATGAGGGTACAGTGTTAAGTAGTTACATCTGTGGAGTAGCGTGGGGGTGAGAAGACCCCAGAGGGGGGGTGCCTGGTTGTGTCTCCACACACTAACCTGGACATGCAAGCTCAGAATACAAAGGTACAAGAAGAAAATTGGTATTTTCTACGTGGATGGGGTTTTGGGAATTCTTAAAATTAAACCCGTATATGGCAGGGATCATAACTCTGAATAACCTTCTGTGTCCTAATAAGAAAATGCAGAAGTGAACCAGTGAAGAGCAGAGGTGCTATAGGCACAATCAGAGAACACTCTAAAAACATCAGAGGTCCACGGTTGTTCAACATCCTCCCACTGAGCATCAGAAATATTGCCGGAACAACTCGCGGACATAAAGAGGAAACTAGATAATCTTCAAGGAGTGCCGGACAAACCGGGCTGTGGTGGGCCTGTGGGCCGCTCCAAGTAACAGCCTGGTGGACCAAGCTCTCAAAAGTCGAGCCTGGCCTCAGGCCGGGCTTGGAGTAGAACTCCCAGAACCCCATTAGGCAGGTATCCACCAAACAAGGGTTAATTTGATTATAAACCTTATTAATTGCTTTTTTAATTTTACATAATTTAAGTGTTCAATAGTGTATTGAAGTTGTTTAGCCTGGCATCTGCAGGTGTTTTGAGAAAATAGTAGTAGTTTCCTATTGTAAATTTTTAATCAGCTGTGCTTACTGTATTATGTAAGTGTTCAATATATTTTTCTAAAACACAGTAATGCATGTTCACTGCAATAAGCTGTGAACTTGACAGTTAGGCAAATCCCAGCTGTCTGGGTACAAGTGACCGGATGAACAACCCAGCGGGTTTTCTTCTTGGGAGTGTTATACATGCTGCTATGGTGGTATGTCCACTCACAGGATGAGTGGTGTTGCCTAATAAACTTGCTGCTTGGGGCAAAATTAAAAAAAATTGATAATGCATTCTATATAATGTGCAGTACAGTATTGTACAAATTGGTCAGCAAGGTTGCTGCTGCTGCTAGAACATGTCTATTGGGAGTTTTGTCAGTGCTGTGTGGAATGCCGAGACTTACTCGGGTAGTTCATTTCTGTGTTTGAACTGAAGGGTAGGCATATTGCCCACCATGAACATAGGCCATCAGTATTTAAAGGTACCTTGTTTTTTTTTTGTCCTTTTATATTGTGTAAATTTTAGTATTGGAAAAGTATCTTGGTCTGATTAAATTAACAGCATTGCTGGATTTTGTCCAGCAAGAAAATGCTAACCTTAGTTTGTCTAGGACACTGTTTGGCTTGTTACCTGCCAGAACCACCTGCTTAGGTGTGGTGTTTACCTTGACAATGGACGAGTTGTGCATTTTTAACATGCAAAAGATAATTGGAAAATTTTAGGCATGTTCAGTGTTGGGTAAATTCAAATTAAAGTAAATGGGATAGTGGTAAGCTTGAAGTGGGAGGCTTAAAGGATTGGGAGGATTTAGTTGTGGTCAGGAAAGTAATAGGTTAAAAGAAGGGGGGGACTGTTAATTACAAAATGCTGGGTTGCATGCAATGTAGGTGTACAGCGCACTAATTTATGCTAAGAAATGGTTTTATGGAATCAATTGATGGATTGTAAACAGATAAATTTATACTAGGGAATATACATGTGGAAATGAATGTAGGAAAGTTGTTTGGGGAGGGGATGCAAAGTGTCATATTTGACATCTTTCAAAAACTGATACTTTGAGCATGTGCTCCCTTCTGTGATGGAATGCATTTTAACAATGTTAAACAAATTTTCTGTGCAACAAGGAGTATCACATGTAACAGGTGTGCAGTGCAGAGGTTAACCCCACCTAGACTGTCAGTGTGGCTCCTCTTAAGGAGGCAGCTGCCCACTTAGTGGCTTTGTCCTGCGTTGGTAACAAGACTGGTTCTGGTCTCAAATATCCAATTAAATGCCAGCACTGGCAGTTATTCTCCCACACACATGTTGTGACTAGAGGGACTGATCTGACAGCTGTGATGATAATTAACAATAAGACCCAAGGTTATATATCCATAATCACTGCACTATGCTAAACAACGAATGCTGTTTTGAGTTCTGTATTTTTTAATTAGGCTATATTTTAATGTTTTCATCATTGTTTTGAAATGAAAAATGTTTGGAAGCATTTGGCATTAACCTTACCTGACCATTTATAAAAACAAAAATGTCCTTAACAATTGCATTATGGAGTTTTTGCAAAAAACAGGCGTACAGTGCAGGGGGTTAAGGTTGACACGTTCATTCAATTGTCTTTAGCAACCCCTTAGAGTAGTTAAAATCTCTTCAGATGGTATGACATTTCCATCTTGCTTAATTCTTGCTGGTGCCAGATGCTCCATTATGGCAATCATCCTCTCCAAACCTCTGCAAGCCTCTGAAATAGGTACTGGAAAATATAGCTTTAGTTTCTCAGTGCAGTAGTGAGATGTCCCTTTGGCCGTTGTGTGGCATTTCTGGCCATTCTAAGACATATTGTTCTCCCAAGATAACTCCATCAATTTGTTACTCTCCCAGCCTTCTCCTGCGTATGCATGCACTATAAATTTAAACAAGCAATCTTCGACGTCATTATTATACATCCCTCAAAGGAAATGTACAGGACTGTACATCCCACTGCCAGTGCTTTAATTGGTAGCAAGATGCTTAGGCCAACCCACCCCTAACCCCTGCACTGAAGCCCTCCAAGCCTTCTTTCTTGGTCAGCATTCCTCCAAATGGATTACCAAAACTGCCACTGCTCAGAATGTGTAATATTCATCACCTCTACCAAAAGACACTTGCCTGCCCCATGAGATGGATCCTTCTAGGAGTGTGGAGTGCATATATAAATAACTGGGCCTCCACTCCTCAAACTTGATTGGTTGCCATAATCTTTGCATTCGAATGCATATATGAATCCAAAGTTGACACTAATTGTGACTCCTTTATCATTGACTCGGCTCCCCAAGGCATAACTGACATGCTTGTCTGAAGCTATACAGATATGAAATAATCAATAATGGAGCCAGTTTCTTCTGTGCATTTCTTCCCAATTGGTCTCCGAATACATGATAGAACTGATGAGTTAGCCAAAACGTTTGCTCTTAGAGGGAATTGATTACCATCTTGGACTGCCATTAAGCAGCTCAAGGGCAGTAATATTGCAGGATCATCATCAAAATCTTGTAGACTCGAGAAGTGAAATTCACACCATTTACTCCATCTATCATTGTTATGCACGAATGACTGCACGTCTATGGGTCATCCAATAAGATGAGCCGACTTCTAAATGTCATTGACTCGGCTTCATTGCTTCAGCAGCAATGACTTCTAAATGTCATTGCTGCTAGGCTTTGGCTCGGCTAAAAGTACCTCGGAGTCTGCAAAATCTGCTGATGTAGATTTGACTAAATGTAAACTGTCGGCAAAACTGTTTGCATACTTTACATAATTATATAATGGACTGTGAAAAAATTGTAGAATTCAAAGATAACACCATCAGTAGTCCAAGAAATGTATAAGTACAGTATAGTACTTCCTTCATAATGATGTACTGCCGGGAATCTTAACGAAGTATCCAAAATTTGTTTATTGTAGGTGCAACTTGCACATCACTATAAAGCTGCCGCCCAGTTGGGTGGGTGTGGAGCAAGACTAGTAACTGTGACTCACCATAGTTGTAAAGTACATTGTATAGAGGATGTTGAGCCGCTTGTTGAATCATTGATATAAAAAGATTTATGTACACTGTTTTTGTGTACATGGGTGTATATGTATCCTGCCATGTATGTACATGTGTATGTAACATTAGCAATTGTGTAACTAGCTTCAAAAGATACCTGCTTAACTAAACGAAATTGTGGTTCAGTTCCTGAAAAGATTGTGCCTCTGTAACCCTTTCGACCACTGCCTATGGGATGGGTATGGGGTGCATAATAAATTTCATTGAATTTTGGCAGCTTGTCAATTACTTTTTTAGTGACATTAGAGGGATGTTTTAACATTATAGCACGCTCAACAGTAAGAGTTTAACAAATACTGTGTATTATACTTAAATGGTCCAGATACCAAAACTTCCATGACTAGCTTATGCTGCCAGTCTTGAGCCGGGTACGAGCTTCTGATAGCGGAGGAAAGTTGCAGAATCTAATACTGTACATAAGACCTGGATTTTTCCCACATACATTTAAGAGGGTTAGTTTAAAAGTTTGCTTCTGACATGTAGGTAAATAACCTGAAATGCTTAACATTGCCTTAAATACTCCTGCCATTTACAGGACAGTACAATACTTTGATATTTTACTGTTGATAACCTATTGCATTGTATTGCAAATGCAATTGAGCAATGAAACTTCATAACAGTACGAAACGGTATGCATCTGCTTGGTCTACCAGAGCCCCACATCTTGTAGGTATGAATAAATTAATTTAAAACAGTATCTTGTACACCATTGTTAAATTGCTTTGAACTAAATTGATTTAAATTACAGGTGTGGACATTGCAAGAGGTTGAAGCCAGAGTTTGAGAAGGCAGCATCGTCCCTAAAGTTGAATGATCCCCCTGTGATATTAGCAAAGGTGAGACAGGAAGTTAAAGTTTTCAGTTATAGCTAAAGTTGCAAAAGTTTAGTGATCCTTACTGATTAGTTGTATATTTTGGAATTACAATTATTTGTTTATATTATGTTATTACACCGAATTTTACTTTTTTTTTATTGCTGAAATACTTTGCCTTGTTTCTGGTATAAACTGTAAATATTGAGTAAATTTACATAGGGTTTACATTGAAAGGAATATGCAATACTTTTTAATTTTGTAATTTTATAGTGCATGCCTTGTGTACCAGGATAAATAACATTAGTCTTAAACTATTTCTTTTAGGTTGACTGTACCGAAGATGGGAAAGATACATGTGGCAAATATGGAGTTTCAGGATATCCAACCTTAAAGATTTTCAAGGGTGGAGATCTTTCGACAGACTACAATGGACCTAGAGAAGCTAGTAAGTTGACTTGATTTCTACTGCAATATAGCATCTTTTTAACTAAACCATTTTAAGTTTTACAATGTCAATGATTCATGTCTCTACAGATGGCATCGTCAAGTACATGAGATCACAAGTTGGCCCGGCATCCAAAGAACTGACTTCCATTGAAGTAGCAGAGGCCTTCCTTGCTGCCCCTGATGTTAGTGTAGTGTACTTCGGAGAAGATTCCAAACTAAAAGGCAAGTTAAACTCGTGATACTAAAGTTTGTTGCCAAGACTAAGTGTGGTGGCTAATCTTGAATTACTGAGGGAGAATTCTTTAAATTATTCTTGTGCATAAATTAATTGTTACAATGTAGGAATTTAACAGTACTAATGTACTGTATTGTGATGGGTTTGACAAGTCTTTAATTACTTTGCAATATTGTATAGTAGCTCTAATTAATCTGGATAAGAGTGCCATTCTGCAAAGCAACTAAAATGCCTTGCAATTAACTTCAAGTTTAGACAAGCTTAACTATTGAGTTTTCAAATATTTGTCACCATAGTGTTGCCAGAATTATAATTATTCAAACAATTTTAGTTCAAAGAAATGGCCTTTATTCTATCAATATTTATGATTGTTAAAAATAGTTTATTCAGTATGTGAAATTAGTCAAATTAGACACAAGACCATAAATGTTCAAGAATATTGTAAATAAAAATTTGGAACACTTCTCCCAGGAAATTATGCATTAGTCTGAAATACAACTGATTTTTTTATAATTGTCTAGTTGGGTTTATTTGAAAGTTCTGATATGCAGATACTTTTCCATATTTTATACTGTAGCAGTATGTAATATGGTAAGTTTTAAGTGTTCCTGGTGAATGTGTGTGTACTGCATGGAGTGAAGTTTTCCCCACTGCCAGGTGTATCGGCTGCTGAATCAAAGCCAATCTGAAGGCCCAGATGTCAAGACAAATGTTAATAGGTAGCAACTATTTGTTCAATTGCACTTTTAAAGGGAGAAAAAAGTTAGAGGAAATTGTGAAAAATGGCTTAGGTGGCTGATTAGCTTAAATCCCTGGAATGTGGTGTAAAGACTAGCTGGTTAAGTCTAAGTAGTGTTACAGTATAATTGTCTTGACTAGCAAGATAGGATTAGATGCAGCTAGTTGACTGCATGGATTGCTTGTAATTGCGAAGCTGTCTGAGGGGGGGGGGGGGGGAAGAGCTCCAAAGGCCTAGCAAAGTAGTTCTTGTACTGTCTTTTATTTCATTCAATTATTGTTTGAAATTGTGAATAAAATTGGGAATTTTAATTTCAGTGAACAGTATTGTATTTACATTAAATGGGTGAAAATTTCTCGTACCTGCACCCACCACTATCGCTGCTGACACCATAATTGGTGAAAATCACTAAGACACTTAACAGGATTAGTGCCAAGATGCAGCAAAATTTGTCTTCCTTTAAAAAAAAAATGGGTGGGGGGGGGTGTTGTCATTAGCACTGTACTACTGCTTGTATGAATGCCCAGCAAAACCCCACTGCATGACTAAATACATTTTTACCAATCAGATTTCAATGTGCAATATGCTTCAACTAGCAGCAGTCTGAGAAAAGTTGTCATAAATGGGCACATACACCAGATACTGTAGGCTAGTGAGTGCTTAGTTAACAAGGTGTCTAAATGTGGTTTAAGTGGTTACACAGAAAAATATAAAAACCTAGTCACTTCCTTATAATGGAGCGACTCTCTTTTTACATCTTTTCCGTGTAGCCATTTTTACCTTCCTGCCTAAATGTGCTGTCACCTGCCCATAATGCCTGGTATAGATGCCCAGTTGACACTTGTGCAAGTTATTGGTATTAGCCACTGTACCAGTGAACTAGGGACATATTTTTAATCCAGAAGATGCTCTTAAGCATATGACCCATGTCCCCCGCTTCTCAGGAGTAAAACCTGAGAAGAAACCTAAAACCAAGGTCCAAGGACCTTGTGGTCCTTGGACACTAGTGTGTACACTTCCCACCGTAATGGTACTTTCACAATAGTGTAAGACTTGGAGGAGGCTTTGACAAATTAATAATTGGGCAAAGAAATGGTGAATGGTATAGCACTAGTGGACTAATCAACATAATAAGTCAGGCTTGCTTTGTAGCTCATTACATGAAATTAAATTAATCTCTTCTTTTGATTGAAAATAGATTCAAGTCACATCTTCCCTGCTGCTACATTACACGCCCTCACTTGCTCAATCTGACTTCAACCTAGTGTTTCTTTTGGCATTAAAATTCTCCTATGACTTATGAATCTCTCTTGATATAGCTTGGATATAGCTTGCACTGTGATCAGTGCAAATCACAAAACTTGTCTAGTAGCTTGTGTAAGAAAATGAGCTTCAGTTAGATATTTCTACAATTACCAATAAAACTAGTGCTACCTTGCACCATGAACACACCCACACTCACCATGTTCACCCCCACCCCCTTCCTTTCCATCCCATCACTAGTAAAAAGTTCACTAGCACTACATTTTCAGGAAATCTGATTATAGTATATGCTGCATTGGCAACACTGTCACGACTTTGGTTTTGTTCCCTTGCAGTTAAAGCCGCTTTTCATATTCTGATGTCTAATATTGAAGTTAATTACTTGCCATATTCTCATAATTACCAAGGTCTTGGAGGACCTTAAAAGATCTTGCAATTTTTCATAGCGTCGGTGGCCTTCAGTGTGGGCAGAGTAAATGTTCGTAAGGGGGGTAAGGATATTTTTTTTTGTGAAGCAAATGATCACCAGGGGTATCTAGTGATAAATGACATTCCTGTAGAACCAGACGAGGACATTACAATTTTGCAGGATGACAAAACTTGTCCCAGGACAATTAAAGCAAATCAGAGCATAGTCTTGATTATTGAAGTAGCAGAAGGGTTAATTGACTTCAGAATTGGAAATTTGTCATACAACTTAAATTTCTCATTGCAGAGGCATTCCTCAAGGCTGCAGATAAACTACGGGAAACTGTTCGTTTTGCACACTCGGTAAAGGCAGAGGTAAATGAGAAGTATGGGCACAATAATGTGGTGGTGCTCTTCAGACCAAAACATATGGAAAACAAGTTTGAGCCTGCCTCTGTTGTTTATGAAGGGCCTATTGACAAATCTGCAATTGAAGCTTTTGTGAAAGAACACTTGTAAGTAATTACTTTATAAATTTTGTTTCTGTAAACTGTTGTATTTGAGAGCAGCCAGGTGTAATAGTAGTTGCTAGGAGAGAGAAATTGAAGTTAAGTGCTTCTTGGGCATCTTCACTTTTTAATTTAGGAATTCTACTTAAATTTAAGGAAAGTTCAAAAGCTAGTAAGTGCTTATTTATCCAATGCTTATAATTTTCAATACTTGGAGACATTGTATTTAGCAAAGATTATCTTTATCTAGTCACTAGACTATTTACTAGGTTTGTGTATTTACCATTACTAAATTAGTATTACTAGGTTTGTGTATTTAACAAGTGGGTAATTTCAATTTGCAGCCATGGTCTGGTGGGTCACCGCACTCAAGATACTGCCACAGACTTTGTTAATCCACTTGTGGTTGCATATTTCAACGTAGATTATGTGAAGAATGTGAAGGGAACCAATTACTGGCGTAACCGCATTCTGAAGGTGAGGAGCTGTAAAAATTTGTAGGTATAAAATGTCATTTGAACTAGAGGCCAATTAGTAATAATCAGGGTAAACACCAATGAGATAGGCTTCATTGAATTTCTGCTGGAATAGTTCTTGTAATACAGAAATTGATCAGGTTTGAAATGTGTACAATAAAATATTTTGCTAGTAACCCATGGTAGGAGGTTTAAATAGCATATAAACCTCTATGAAAAGTAAGGGTACCATAAGTGTACTGCTCGGTCAGGTCTATGAATACTTTAAGTATTAAAATACAATAATTAAAAAATGTGTAACTTTAATAAGGGTTTTTTGATAGCGTGTGAAGTCAGGCATTAGACCTGTAACCCTAATAGTGTATTGGTCAAGCAAGGCTGCAGATTGGATTGATGTAGAAAAGAAATTGGGAATGTGTTGTATAGCGTGTATTCTGGAGATGAACTTGACTGTCGACAGAAAAATCACGAATAGAGCAGTGGCTATTCGGGCAGCTGGAATGCCAAACACATTAAATAAAAAAAAAGTAGCAACAAAGTAAAAACTGCTATGGATCTCCTTACGGTGTGGTAACTGCAGGATAAAGTACAATGAATGAAAAACTCAAGTATTTTAATATAACAAAATATGACAATTTAAAAAACTTCTCAATGACTTGGCTTAATAAGTTCAAAAATATAAAAAGTGAACGTTACGTTAAGATTAAAATAAATGGTGCTGGAATACTATGTACATAGGCTGTGTAAATCTACCACCACCACCACCTAGGGGAGCATGAAGCAGATGTAGCAGCTTTGGAGCACTGAGAGTATTATAAAGTGTAATGGCTTGTGGTTCTTATATATACATGGGTGAGGCTGTGTAGATGGTGCTGGTGTGCAGACAATTGGAAGCCGGCAGACACAAACGAGCAATGCGAGTTGACCAGTGAGTGGGGCGACTTCCAGATGCCAGATGTGCTGATATGACGGGTACTGGAGGTGGTAGGGTGGTAGAGGCTCCAGTCTAGACATGGCTCCTGAGAACTTGAACAGGTGATGAAGGAATAGGCCCAATCTCCTTTCCCCAAGGAGATTCTTGACACTATCAACTATGATTGTATAATTTTTCACTTGCAGGTTGCACAGAACTTCAAGGAATTTAACTTTGCTGTGGCAAATAAGGATGACTTTCAGCATGAACTTAATGAGTTTGGCCTTGACTTTGTTCCTGGAGACAAGCCTGTAATTTGTGCTAGAAATGCGAAGTCTCAAAAGTTTGTTATGAAAGAAGAGTTCTCGTAAGTATTGTCACCCACTATGTATTATGTAATTTTAATGATTATTAAAGAATCTTTACCTGGGAACTTTACTTAATGTGCAAATTGGTGTAGAGTTAAGCCTAAAATTTACATGTATAGTACCAGGTAGATATATATTCCCCACTACTATGCATGGCATTTACTAATACAGTATATTAAATATATATATACCAAGCAACATTAGTTTGGTATTGGATAGTCTGTGCCATATATATATATAGGATATGCATTTGGGAAATGAGTTAATCTCTCCTTTCCCCCCCCCCCCCTCCCCCAATGTAAAATCCTATTTTAAAAATTGTACAAATCTTTATGGAATCAAAATCTGCCAACACTTAGTGTTGCTTCAGCAATGTAGTGATCAATCAACTTGATTGTCTAGCCATACCCCCTACTATGTTTTGATGGGAAAGCGATTCATAAGCAAAAGCAGATTTGTATGGTGGGAATTGGATTAATGAGGATGAACTGAAATTAGAATTTAAGGTTCTTCAGGAGAGTTTAGCTTTCCTCAAGACAGAATACAGGAAATAGTAAATGCAGTGATGGACAATTTGGAAGAAGTATGCATGTTAATAATGAAGTTGGGTACTGAGAATTTGTACCTCAAAGTTGTTTGGGTAAAATTTAGTGTTCCTTGGTCATCATGCTGCATATGCAGAAGTGAGATTTAAAGATTGTTTTAGTGCTAAGAATGCATCTCTCCACTCTTGTATAAAATACCCTATATACAGGCATAGGGTAACTGGTTCCATTCTTGCAAAAGCTATTCAAATCAAACTTATGTTTAGCAAATTGTCTAATTTATTTGATATTAAATTCTGACTTCCAGCTTCATTATACCACATCTAGAATGTTTGGTATGTGCACCGATACCTAGATAGATAGAACTGTTCACGAAACAATGTAGGTGGAATCCAGTATTGCTGAGAATGCAATTCTCTTAGTGTACTTACACTTCCATAGCTAACCTACATTCATACAATCTCAACCTGGATAGGGAAGATTTGAGAGTACTATTCAAAACTTTATATAAGGGCTTACCTCTTTAATATTGCAAATTGTGGGCGGCTTGTACAGTCTGATACACGTGTGTATAGCATTGTTAGTTGGCATCTTCACATTTTAATGAAAAAAAAGCGATATACACTACAGGATTACATGTAAGAATGTGTACATGCTGTCCAAAATGACACTATAGTATAAACTACAAAAGATGCAGTTCTGTGCCAAAGTAACTAGGGTTTGATTAAATTGTTGCAACTATTTACATAGATTAAATTCTTTTGACAGGATGGACACTTTTGAAGCATTCCTCAACAAACTGAAGTCTGATGAACTGGAACCTTATCTGAAGTCAGAGGCTGTCCCTGTACAAGATGGCCCAGTCACTATTGCAGTTGGCAAGAACTTTGATGAAGTAGTAACAAATTCTGACAAAGATGTGCTTATAGAGTTCTATGCACCTTGGTGTGGACATTGTAAGAAGCTGGCACCCACATACGATGAACTTGGAGAAGCGGTAGGTTTCAGATGTTAAGTGTTGCCTATCGATAGTCTTTCCAGTTAATGTGCAACTTAAAAGCCAGTAATCTAAGGTTACCTTATCTTTCCCCCACACTTTAATTACATGGCAGGGTGTAGACCATGGGTAGCAAACATTTGAGGTCATATTCCCAAATTGAAGATAATCTAAGTCTGTTGCCCTTTAATAAAATGCATGAAATCATTCTTGAAGATTAAGCAACTAATAACACTTCTGAATTTTCTTGCATATAACGGCTCTAGTATTTACATTAACTAGTTAATCAGAAGAATTATTGAATTAGTAACACTAATTATGGGGTTTTAAAGGTGAGAGAAGCCTTGCTGGTTATTTATGTATATTTATTGATTTACTATTACCTTTTGTTCCAATGATGCTAAAATGTCATCTGATTGCTAAATCTTCAGTTTTCGGTTCCTGAGCTATTTGCAACGATTAGTTCGAAAACTTACAAAAAAAAAAAAAATTCTGAGACTCACTCAATCTCTCCCCTCCCCCCACTCTCTTTCCCCACATCTTCTATTAGAGTTCATTGGAAAACATTGACACTAAATTTGTAGTAATAACGTGTGGTTTGGTCACGTCTTCAGCCATGTTATTGTGACTTGTTTGTATTAGTGGATCAACCATGCCCATCTTTTAATAGATTTCAAATAATCTATGCTCCTACTTAAAGTTAAAGTGGAAGGATTTTCATATATATTTCATACTAGACTTCCAGCAGAATGATGCATATATACTTTATATTACTGATCTCTGAACTTCTTTGTAACTTGATGCAAATCCACTTCAGATGAGCCTGATGGGGTACAGATGTTCTCGCCTATCCCACATTAGAGTACCGACTGCAAATTTCTGATAGCGTGAAATATTATATTGACCTGGGCACCCAATCAAAGTTGAAAGTCTAGTTTTAACAAATGTTGTATGACATGTGATGGTAGGACTTCTGGATATCTTTGATATTAGTTTAGCTTTGGTGCACTCAAAATTAAACCTGAATCAAAGCCCTTTCATGTAAAGAAATATTTTAATGTGCAACCTGTGGGGTAAATAGAAGAATGCTTCAGAAGCTGCAGGTTTCCTTTCTTCTATCGGATTATGATGCCGCCATTATTGCAACCCTGATCGTGTTGAACTAGCATTATATCAACTGTATGAACAGGTGTTTTCTAGTCATCCTAGTAGGAAGTTAATTTGCTAAATCTGATGATCCATCTATTAGTAGTCTGTTACAAGGTCTTGTGTGCACCTCTAGACTTGTGACCATCTCCACTTGATTGCATTAGATTTCTAAAGTTTTACATTGGTAGAATTTGTGTTGGAATTGCTTTATCTATTTGCAGTACAGTGCATCTCTGCTAATTGTACTGAATACGACAGTTTAATGTCCTAATTGTTGTTTTTGGCAGCCATTATTACTTCATATTAGTAATATTTTATATTAGTCATTTTAATAACTGCCCGTACACTTACATTCTAAAGACCATGATTAGTTGTTTTCCCTAGGTGCAAAATATGTCCACCTTTCCATAGCAGGTATTTTCCAGTGTAACTGCAGTTCTTTGCTCTGATAAGTGTTCATGAGCCAGGTACTTGCAGTTCTTGACCCCTCGGTGCTATTATGACTGACTTGTGACCCCCCCCCCAAGAGTCCCATAGTAATGGCTATTAAACTTTTGTTCTAATTAGACCAAGCAACCAGAGTTTTGCAGGGTACCATAATTTATGCATTGCCCAGAATGGTTGTTGATATAAGATGATTCAAGCAAGCTCCACTAATGTCCCATCGTTAAATCAAATTCAAGTGATTTTTGTGAATGTACTTCATGTTAATGTTTAAGATGAATTGATCATGAACTAGCTAGTTATGTCTTGGTGGCTTTCTCGTGTCACCTAATAGAAAACAAGAACTTGTTAGCTTGCCTGCATATTGTGTAAGAGATTATCCCATGGCTATTTCATGAAACTGGTGTGTGACCTCTCCATTCTTTTCAAATGTTATCCCACTTGCCCATCATCAGTTTAAATTGTTATTGTAACACTGAAGTGGTCGAATCATACTGGCTTACTATTTATTTTATACTTTATTATTTTTTATAATTTATAAATGTTCCATTAAATTCTTTGATGTATTAAAACTTATTTAAAAACCCCACTTATTTCCAGAGCATGGTGTCATGAATATTTTGGAAGCAAATTATATAGTCTTCCCCAATACTACAAATTGATAAAATGAATGATATAATTTCAGATGAAAAATGAAGACGTAGACATCGTTAAAATGGATGCCACAGCAAATGATGTACCATCTTCATTTAATGTGAGAGGGTTCCCTACATTGTACTGGAAACCGAAAGGTGGAGAACCTGTCGTATTCAATGTAAGTTGTTTTGAAGTTTGAGAGGTTGATGGTTTAAATGTGCTTGTAGACCATTTTGTTAATGTGCTACTTTTGGTAAAATTCCTTTGTATTTTGAAACTTTTAATTATAAATTTAATGTTTCTATATTCCAGGGTGGCCGGGAGCTGGACGAGTTCATCAAATACATAGCAAGAGAAGCTACAAATGAACTCAAAGGTTGGGATCGTAAAGGAAATGCAAAGAAAACGGAACTGTGAGATCCATAGAACCCCGTTTACCTGCAGAGGCTTTAGGGCTTCAGAAACGTTAATTGGTGCGAGTTAAGTGTAAAAGTACATAATTAAATTATGTAGGAAAATCAACTACGATCTTTTGTTTAAAAAAGTATTAGTGCTTTTTTTTTCATCTAAATACCCAGTATTTATGAACTAGACAAAAAAGTGAAGATATGGTGCTTGTATGCGGTGAGAAATTGAAAGATGTGAAAGTGAGTTTGTGACGAATGTTAAACTATTGCTCTAGTTTGAATGCTATGCACTGAAACTGATGGCATTAAATTCTTCCTAAAATCATTCCTTCTCTTGCCCTAAACATGGGTGCACAAGTTTGATATAATGCATTCAGTTTACTTAATAAATTTTATAGTAAGCCTTCTTTTTGTTTTCCTGTTGGTTGGCTTCAGATTGCAGTGTTGGTATCTGCATAAATGACCGTGAAGTAAGCATTAATTGTACTAGGTAAATCACATAGCATAAAACTTCAATTCTGCACACTTGCAAGTGATATTTGGATATAGCATTATCCCATTTCTACAAGGCAATGCTCATGGGAAAGGGGTGCTAGAATACTTAGCTGATGCCGAGGGCAGATCTGGGGTTGAAGTCCTTAGCCTGGCCAAAAGATAGAAACCAATGAAGTACAGTATGCTCGGCATCCAAATCCAAAATTATAACTTGTGTAGGTAGCTTGATGCTAATACCATGGACAATTCATAGAAGACATTTAATAAACAGGAAGGAAAGGTTTGTGAGAGTTTGATTGTTCTATAGCCTAAAAGGACTGCAGCAAACAGATTTTGAAGGTTCTTGCTACCAATAAACACACTAGTGCTTTCCTTCCTCTTTATTTTCCACTTCGAATATACCAGTTTAACCTCTTTGCAAATGCAAACCAAGAATATCATATTCAGATTGTCATATTAATATGCCAATATTACAAATACTGTACGTTCATATTTGCCTACACTTTATTCTTAGTTTCCTCTTCTACTTCTGCCTCGGGCCAATTCCATATATTGTATTTAATCTGCTTTTAATTTCCATTATTTGTAATCTACCCCCATTTCATACCCAAGTTCAACTAGTTAAATCTGGTGTATGTCCTTTGAACTTCCATTCACATTTTCGTTACCCTTCATGGGTGTTAGCCTGAAGTATGGGGGCTCTTGCAGTTCTCGGGCAGTTGTTTTTTCTGGTGTGCCTACATGCAACCAAACCCATGATATAATAATCATATTTGGGTCATAGGACTATCCTTGTACTCTCATAGTTGTGCTTGCGGGGGTTGAGCTCTGGCTCTAAAGTCCCGCCTCTCAACTATCAACTGATGTACAGATTCCTGAGCCTACTGGGCTCTTATATTTACATTTAAAACTGTGTGGTCATCCTCCCCCACATCACTGCCTAATGCATTCCATCTGTTAACTAATCTGACACTGAAAAAAATTCTTTCTAACGTCCCTGTGGCTCATTTGGTTACTAAGTTTCCACCTGTCCCCTTGATCGTGTTCCATTCTTGTTAGTTTATCCTCTTCAACCCTGTTAATTCCTCGTGTGAATATGGGAATGACCACTCAAATCGATTCCCCATCACAAGAAATGTCCATCCATTAGGGACAAGGTACCCTGGTACCCTTGTCTGGTTAGCACTCGCTATGCCTCGCTGGTTTGTGAAGTGCTTATCTTTTGGAAGTTTCACTAGATTCGTGTTGCAGGTGACGAGGCCCCTCTGGAAGATGGCTTCCTGCTGGCTCCACAGCTTGGACCCTGACTTGGTATCCTCGATAATCTACCCGCATTTTTTTTTTCTTTTTTTTTTACCCAGCAGTGTCTGAAATTTGTCGGGATGGCAGTGTTCCACTATAGAGGGCGAGCCTGGGCTCTGCTTCATTTCTTGTGCATTCGTATGTAAAGTTTGATGCACCTAAATTAATTTTGGTACCAATTATAGAGAAGCGTACCGTTTTCTAAAGCCAGCATATTCACATGCTACAGTTAATTAGCTTTGTACCCCTCCCCCCCCCCCAGACAGTCTGGTATGTGCATTTTTTTTGAAGCATAAACTGGTTAACCACCTTGCTTCCTTTCTATGCAGGAGAGGTCCTGGTAAATTTAGCCAAGTGTCCAGCTGAATGAAAATATAGACGTAGTTCTTCACCCCATCTTCCCTCCCTGGAGGCAGAAATACTAGACTTCCATGCAAATAGTAAGGTTATCTGAGGACTCAAAGGGCACTATTGTCAAGGTAACTACGTTCATGCCATCTTTGGTAAGCGTACAGTACTAGCTCTGCATATTGCTAAAATTATTGGCTACATCGTTAGACTTTAACCGTTCCCTCAAGTCAGTCCTCTTCCTGTCTCATTTGTAAAACTAAATTTTGCCATGGGTGTTGTACTATTAAGTGCTATCCATGCAAATATAATCTGTTAAGTGTACTAGTGACCCAACTGGTTCGCTGCATTAATTGCAGTGGCGACCATCTTACATTTTCACGGAAAAGATGGCAAGCAGTTCATTCTTCCCCCTCATAAGAGGAAAACATCCCCTTGGCAGATTTATTAACGTCTTTACCGACTATAAATTTGCTTAATCTGAGTAATTAGATTAGATCTCATTACAGCTAGGATACTGCTTATTTTCACTGTCAAAGGATGCGCTCGAAACTCGTGTGTTTTTTGGTGCTACTTTCAAAATGTAGCATTTTAATAAGTGAAATGTTTTAAGTACTTCACTATACAGATACTGATGAGTTTGTATATTTCTACACTGTATATCCATTCCCTACAATATTTCTACACCATAGTAAGGTGTAGAAATATAAGTAAGGGCATATACAACCCTTGCATCGCAACATTGACATCCTTTTAAGTTTGGAAGTTCACATTCTTAATGCATTTTCTACTGGTAATTCGGTTGTAGCCGTTCTTTTTGCCCTAGATAAATGTACGACTATCCGGAGAGGTATATTATATAGCGCAATTTTACTATTAAGGCCTCTGGTAATTTGCCACTAGTCGGTTTCCTCTCCGGCCTTACATACAAGGTACCCTTACACACAAATCACAATAGCGTGATGTATCAAATGAACAAACCCACAAGGGCCGTGACGAGGGTTCGAACCTACGTCCGAGAGTATCCCAGACGCTGCCTTAAACGACTGAGCTACATGGTTAAAAGAATTGTGGATTTGTTCATACAAGGTACCCTTTGTGTACGGCGCGCACTGCATCTTTTTGTAAATATTTTGGCATTCTTCAAATGCATCTTTTTAAGCACTATTTCCTGCCTGCCCTTAATGGTCACTATTTTCTTCCACCTGGGATGTTGCTGTTTTGTTGACCTCGCTCTTTTGTCAAGTCCATGGATGGGATAAAATGAATGCACAATTTTAGGTTGACTAAAATGTCAACGGAGAGCTTTTGTGAATGGGTTGTTGGGTTGAAATTCATTTGTATATCAAATAAGTACTGGCATACGAGTAATAATCATTGACTTGAGATATTGAGTTCATTATCTTTTCCGTTCAGGATACCCAAGGAAAATTTTGACTTAAGTATTTTGTGGTGTTCTGAGCATTACCTCAGGTATTAGAACAAGCAGGGGGTGAAAGACTTAATCCCTGCTTGAAGGATCAGCGCCCACCCCCCACCTCCCCCAATCAAGGATGCAATATATGCCAAGTACATAATTTAAACAATGTTTTAACATTTGCATCAGGGATGATGTCCTGCCACAGCTTTGAGAAACACTAACGCGTATCTTTATATTGACAAGTCTGGTTACAACTTTGACCATACAAGTGAAACTTAGAGGTATTTGTCAGGTTACATTGATGAGTTTGATAGCCATCATATAGTTGTATTTTATGTCTGGGTGAACGCCTATACATAGTGTCTGTTTTTCTCTGCAAAGATGAATAAACCTGGGTGCTGACAGGGCAGGGAGAGGCCCAGGCACAGTGGGGGTACCCATTTCTAGTAGCAAATATTTAATATTGGTTATCCCAATGTAGTTCCTTGCCCAACCACTTGGGCTGGACGGTAGAGCGACGGTCTCGCTGCATGCAGGTCGGCGTTCAATACCCGATCGTCAAAGTGATTGGACACTATTCCTTCTACTCCGTTTCATCCCTAATCCTTATCCCGACTCCGTCAAAGTGTACTATATAGTCGTAATGACTTTTCGCTTTCCCTTGATAGTTCCCTTTCCTTCCCTAGATATTAAAATTCCGGTTTGTTTAACACTGAGCATTTAACTTGTATATCGACTGCAAAAAGAGCCGATAGGATACGCCTTTTAGGCTTATCCTATTAACCTTGGTGACTGCACTTGACGAGCAGGCAGCGCCTGTGCACAGTCACACGTGCAGTTATTGTGCAGACCGGCCACTAACCAGACAGTGACTTGCACAATATGCACTGCACCACGCCGTGCTAAGACTGAAGGCGCGCGTCTAACACCTGGGCACTATTTTTTCATAATTGGAATGCTAATAGAAATATGAAAATCGGTTCCAGCTGTTGCTCTTCTTTATGCATTTTGCATGAAGGTTTTCTCCTCCCGGTGACTGCTCGAGAGGTAATGTTGGGGGACGCGTCACTCACATTTGCGCTTCAATGTTCATTTTGTAAGGTTTGAATACTGTTGGCACGTTATGCAACGCTGAGGACGAAACTAGACCTGTTTGTGAGTTAGTCTTGATGCTTGGCAGAGAGGGCTAGAGGGATGTTGTTAGTGTCATCTGATCGTTGCTGTTCATGGTAGGTAGGTAGGTAGGGTTACGTTTTCTTTGTACGACTGTCCGGGGTACCTCCAGTTGCAGGAATAGGTCAGATGTGACCTAATTTTGTTTTTAGCTGACTGGAGATATTTAGCCAATGCTTTTAGTTCTTGATATTTTAAATGAAGTGAGACTTATTGGGTGCCTTTGATTAGTGAAGATATAAATCTAATTAATTTTGGTTTATTGCTCCTCTGGGGTTATATATACCCAGGAAAGAAAAGTGTGCGCCATTGTAAGGTTAAGCATGCGAAAGTTCCTAGTCTCTTATTTGGGAATTGATTTAAGTTTATAGGTTTGCATGTTGTTACTTGTTGAATAATAAAAACTGTCTCTATGCGGGTAGTTTTAAACTATTCGGTAATGGTCTGGTTATGAGTAAAGGAATTGTTTTAATTCCGTGAATGTTGTTTAGATGCTTTTAGCGTTCCACATCATGAAGGTCAACGGAGTCATTTAATACGTTTGGTTGTGACTGCGTCTGTATTTCTTGTTCATTGGCACAGCGGCGGGGTGTGTAGTTTTTTTATTTTTTCAGTGTGATGAGTGGCGGGTTGTTGGCTTAGTCCGACAGCTGTGAGTTTCTT